CAGGAATCATTCTGCAAAGGAAAAAGCATGCATATATCGGATGGCACAATTTGGCCTACAGGAGCTTCCAGAGGCATAGCTAACATCAGCGTACCTGTAGGTGATCCTTCCATGACATGTCCAATGTACGGTCCTTCCCTGAAGATGGGCCTGTTGTCATTCTGATCGATGATTATGATATCCAGAGGGACAGGGGTTTCGATACTTTTGCCGGTTGCATCAATGATCTCAACTTGCAGCTGTGCAAGCAAAGAGACAGGAGGACATGAATTAGTTCATGATCAGGACACAATAAACAAGTAGCACGTAAAAGAGTAGCTTACATCCATACTGCTGTAACAAGCCCCTGGCGAAGTTTTAACACTTTGGTGTCAGAAGGGGATTCTCCGAGATGGGGCTATCAGAAAAATGGGTTGGAGTTCAGGGAAGAAACAGAGAGCGAGAGAGAGCGTCAGGTTGTGGGGAGATCCCTACTTGGATAGTTTTCAATCCATTTGCCAAGTTTTCTGAAGAATGCAATGGAGGGGAAGAGGAAGAAATACAATTTGACACTAAGAAATGAATATTTGCTTAAAATTAGTTTCTATTTTTTCTTTAAGCATAATTACACTTAAGGGGAACAGGTACAAAATACATCACAAGATCAGAAGATACAAATAGACTGTCATCAGGAGAAATAACAATAACGTTTTTATACTAAATGGGTTGCCTCCTCCATGAGGAGATGAAGTAAATCAGCACAGAATTTGATACATCCGTGTTCAGCGTTTGCAAGTCCCGAAAAGCATGGCATGGAGAAAATAACCCTACACATGAAAAACATGAAGCCAAGACTTGCACACCAAATGGCTCCAGCGACAGACTGTAACATTGCTTTTTCCCTCCTGTTTATTCAGTTTTTTAAGTTAGCAGAAATGGGAAATTGTCTGCAATATCAGCTGCCACTATTTGTTGACACGTCAAATGCAGCAAACACACATCAAAGGCATGATGCAGCAGAAACATGAGTCGCCCAATGCAAGAGATGCTCTTCCCATTTCTAGGATAGGTGGCTTTTGTTCCAACGTAATGCATTGCTACCCTCCGTCATGAACACGATGATAATAGGGGTTTATTGCAACTGATGCTTGCTTCTGTATCCATCGTACAAAAAGACTAATGACTTTTGGCCCAAACAATTGGAAAAGCAAAGAGTACGGCTTTTGGTACCATTGAGCTCTGATTTGGGATAATAGCTTACAAAGTCAGAAACAAGGCAGGGCTGACTGATCAAAAAATACAGAACTTCGGAACAAACTGTTTGTACTTCTATTGCAAATTGGTAGATGGCTTTAATACCTAAATATTTCTTTAGATTAGTGAAATCTACCAAATTGCCTCTCCCGGCTTATACATCCAGTGGTTTTGAAGAAAAATAAATGGCTATTTGACAAAAAGAACAATGTTAATATGATAATAGGGTGCTGTCAGATCTGATGTCATTATCCGTGAAGGGTTTTATGTATTTCTGAATTGTGTTTGCTTATCATCTGAGAGCTGACAACCACGCATAGCATGCGCTGCATGGTGATGAACCGTGGGCTTTCAGAAAGTTTCCCTGAAGACTGCTTATTACCAGGTGAATCTCAGAAGTCTATTGGATTTCCCATATCTTCCAGTCAGGGCTTGCTTTCAAGTTTTCCTTCCATATCAACCTTACTTCACGGACATGGCAACCTACCAATGCACTCATTCTCAAGAAAAAAAAGTTAGCTTGCTTTCATGACCTTGGGATACTAACTGGATTTGCAGTGGAGAAGCATGGGTTTAGTTAAAATAGACTTGTCGTTGTTCACTTGTCTGAGGAGCTCACAAAGTGTGGCTGCAATTTAGGAATGTGCTTTTCAAGCAGATCAAAGCAAAAGAACTGGGAATCTTTCTGGTTTTATATACAGATTGAGAGGCGGTTAGCTGTGTTGGTCTGAAGTCAGGCAGACGGTAGGGCAGATGTCATGTTACCTTAAAAACATGTTACCTGTTGATCCTGTTCTGATTGTTCTGGGGTGGCACTTAAATAGGTATGGGACAATTTTTTTTATACATGTATCTTGAATAATAATGAGCCCCGACTGTCCTGGGAAAAACTGTTTTATCTCAGTACTTCAAGGGTACTTCAGGGTACTCACAGCGGGACAGAGGGCTTGTACCTCTGTAGGATCCCAGGATAAAAGGCTTTGTCCTGTACGAAATCAGACATCTCAGACTAACCGGTTCAGAGAGGCATGAGCTTTCATAGGCTAATAACTATTTTAATGTGGCCCTGATTAATCTGAGATATGACACACAGAGGTGGCACAGCATCTACACAGAGCTGTCAGAGAGGCAATGAAGCTAAAGTAGCAGTGATGGTTCCAAGGCAGGGTTAATCTGAATAATTCACAGATACTTAATACAGGACATTGAGCTTGGTTGTTTGTAATGGCTGGAGTTGATGTGGAACAAATCAAACCGGTTGTCTCTTCTTAGCTATAGGCAACAACCTACTTCATCCGGTGAATAGGCTGACAGAAAGAATAAGGTTCATTCACCTGAATGTAACATCTGCCTATAATACCAGGTTCATTCACTTGATCCTCCACCAACTTCATGTATATCATCACTTGGTTACAAAGCCCCTCTGCCGGATATATTGGACAGATGGGGTGATCCCTATGGAAAAGAACGAGTGGACACCAATCTGGTATCAATTCCAGAAGCATACAAAAACTGAAGGCAGATTGCTTTAACATCCCTGAATACATCATCACTGAGCTCCGAGTAGCCGTCCTTAAACAAGACATTTTAAAGGCCACCTTTAAAAGTAAAATTGTGAACAAAAAATCCACAGACTGGATTTTTCTTAACTACGTGTTCAGCTGGGAATCTTATCCCATTACCCGAGCTAGCTGTTAACTGTGTGTCCCTCAAGGTGGTAACTGCCTTGTTCATCTCATGGCGTTATCACACATTCACTTATAACCTGCAAATCATTGGACGGTTAATAGGTTATTAAAGTTAGTAAGTGTTCGGTGATAAACCCCGCGTGAAAGGGAGCAATTTTGCAGGGGCCATGAGAGCACTTAACACATGTTTGAATGTGTGTCTGCTTGAGTTTTAACTTCACTTAGTGTTAAACTGAATGTGTGGTTCAGTTGGTCTAATCAACCCGCTCTTATCCTCTCTTATCAGTGTCCCGTCCCCACCGTCCCTTTCTCATCTATAAAAAAACACTTTTGTTCTGCCAGTCCATTCATAGCATCTGACGATGAAGGCTCTTACGTAAAAAAGCCCATGCCTCTCTGAACCACTTGGTCTTGATGGTGCCTAACCCTACTTCAAGGCTTTAGCTAGTAATTTCACAGATTGCTCCTGGTCCATTGTCACTGCCAAATGCTTTTCTTAAATTTGAGGCTCTGTTCAGCCTTGGGGTTGCCCACTTTAATTGAGTGTGAAAGCCTCTACCCCATAAAATATTTGGGGCACAGGTAGGGCAGCCAAGAATTGATCTAATTCACCACATGCCCTAAACAGCCGTCTTTGGCAAAGGTCCTACGGAGCCTTGGCACAAAAAGAAAGTTGCTCTCTCTAACCCTTGATGCAACACCTGTAAATATATGTCATTTCCCTCTCCTCGGTATCCACCCGTCACCCCCTACTCCTCTGCATTTTAAAAAAAGGCTTTTAAAACGTGTTGTAAATTTACCCCAAACAACTGGTTGGTGATACCTTTGTATCCTTGGAAAGTGTGTGCAATATTACATGGCCAGAAGAAATAGTTATTTTTCAAGTGAGTATTGAGGGTCTGACTTGTAATTCAGGCACATGCAGACAATTTCCCAGAGACATGCCATACCAAGTGCAGGGCTTGAATTCTGCCGTGTCTGTGCACTGGATTCAGTACAGCAGCAGCTGGACTATTTGCTGTCGAATCCAGGACCAGGGACTAAAACAAGGATTCAGGGGTTTCAGGACATGCTCATTCAACCTGCACCACTGCTCCACTGGAGGGTCCTTCCTCACCTTATTAAGCAAACAATAGTCATGTTGCCATCTTGGCATTATCAGCAATGCCAACTCTCATGAAAAAAAAAAAATCAGGAGACTCCCGATTTCCAAGTCAAATGAACCCTGACTCATGATCTCCTGAAAGAGAGATCAAATCTCAGGATTTTTTCTTCTGGCACATGTAGAGAGCATCAAGCTGGTAAGTCTGTGGAGGGGAAAGGGTGGGGGTGGAGGGAAGGGGCAGGAGGGAGGACATCGAGGTCCCCATGCTGAGAGAGGGAGTGGGGCATGGGTTGGGGTGAATTGGGCTCTGGGGCTGGAGAGGCATGGGGTGCATGTGCCCCACAGATACGTGCGCAAGGCAGAGGCGGGCTGGCGCTCTGCGCCCTGCTGCCTTTGCCTTGGGAACTGCGTATACACACTTCATAAATAGCATCTCATGATTTACATGTCAAATCTCTTGATTTTTAAGAGTTTGTCTCATGCTTTTTGACATGGTGGGATTGGCAATACTGCATTAGGACTGATCCTAAAGACATGCCAGCTGAAAGCCCTGTGCAGGCGTTAACAAACTAATCTCTGAGCAAAACTGGAGGAAGGGGCTATATGAAGTTTTTTTTTTTTTTTTTTTTTTTTTTTTTTTTTTTTTTTTTTTTTACAAACTCATTTCACAGGATTTTCAAGCCCTCATTTTTGCTTTCAGAAAAGTGTCTGGGCCAGTTTGCCTTTTCACAATTAATTTCTAACTAAATGTCACGTCTCTTCCCAGGCTACCTTCATCCTGCCCTGATTGCCAGTTGCAATGGGTGTTTTATATTCTTCTCCTATTTTCTTCTTTGCTGTCTTGCTACTCCCTCCTCAGTGTGCTGTCCTAACCTTGGGGACTTGGCACCTTATGCTGCACTTGTTTATTTCTTCTCTGCTTATTTTCAAGTCTCCCCTGAATCAAACATCCTGTTCACTCTTACCATCTGAGAATAGCAGGTATTAGTTGGAAAAATATAAATCAATTTTAAGGTAGTCTTTTCTCCTGGGCTCCCTGTGTATTTTGCCTTAGCTATTCCTGTCTTTTCAGCTGTTAGCTCTTTGAGTCAGGAATCAGCTATTGTGCATTTATAAAACAGCCAAGCATATTGTTGGCATGATACAAATAAATAAATCCTCATTTACAGTAAGCACTATGCCAACCACCTTCGATTTGTTTTTGGCTGGAGCA